GTTGGATTCCCCTGGAACTGGAGTTAAGGATGATTTATAGCTCCCATGTGGGTGCTGGGAATTGAACCCAGGTCCTCTGCAAGCGCAATCAATGCTTTTAACCACTGAGCTATCTTTCCAGCCCTCCTTCCCACTTTCTTGAGACAGGGTCTTACTGTGTAGCCCTGGTATCTTTCCAGCCCTCCTTCCCCCTTTCTTGAGACAGGGTCTTACTGTGTAGCCCTGGCTGGCCTGGAACTCACTATGTAGACCCAGCTGGCCTTGAACGTATAGAGATCCACCTGCCTCTACCTCCTGAGGGCAGGGATTAAAGGCCGCCAGCACGCCTGGCTGCCATTTCTTCATGTTTAGTTTTGTTGAGTTCTTTGTATATTCTAGACACTAATCCCCTGTGGATGAAGAGCTGTAGCCTGTTCTGTCCACCTCGTCCCTTGTTTTATCCTTTCCTTGTTATACAGAAGCACTTGAGTTTCACGACATCCCATTTGTCCTTGGTTTTATTTCCCGTGCTGCTGGGTCTTACTCAGAAGGTCCTTGCTTGAGCCTGTAAGTTGAAGCGTGACCCTCCTTTTCCCCTAGGACTTTCGGGGAATATTGACTATTTTTAAACAAGAGTCTCACTGGCATCAAGTTGACTTGTTTGCTCTTCTTGTTTTCCATTTCAGATACTCGACGAATTCAAGAAGGATTCCTCTGTGTTCATCCTGGGGTGAGCCACCACTTGTGCGTTGCTGTTGTCCAGAGTGATTGTGTGTGCATAGCGGATGCCACCGAGTGGAGTGACTGATCTCAGGCCCGTAGCTTGGAGAAATGAACAGCAGCCATGGGATGTGGAGTGTTGGGAGGAAAGTCCAGAAGTTTCTGTAGCGAGGGCTGTGAGCCTCGGGCTTCCTTCCTAGGGCTTCAGGGAAGCCAGTGGGTTTCTCCCCTCCCTTTTCCGTTCTGAGTTCCTTTCCCTTTCCTAATTAAGTAGGTTGAACCAAAGTAAAATGAACCAAAGTTGTGACATGTGATAAGAACTCGTATATATAAATAATATCATTAAGCAAGTCTGTGCTGCAGGACTTGTCAAAACCTTTCCTGTATGATTCCCTAGGTGGGGAATTTATAAAGTGTCCATTGTTTCCCAAGCCTGTCTGAGCAGGACACATGCCTGCCATGGAGTGAATGGCCCCTAGAGAGTGACCTCTGACACAGAGACCAAGTCCTCGTTGAGTGACTGTCACTTTCCAAACTAGAACCCCAAGGCTCCAAAGGTCATGACCAATGAGTCTGGTCTTCATGCTGTGTCTTGGTGAAAAGGATGATGGGAACCTGTGGGCTGGTCAGGGAGGGAGGGCACAGACGTCCCAATGGGGAAGGACAGTGGACTCAGGACTCTGGGGGCAGCAAAGGAGACAACTGATAGTCCATTTTCTCACCTTAGTTGGATTACAAGGACCCCTGCCCCAGCGCTCTGCATGCCCAGGAGCTCAGCTCCTCTCTAGGAAATTCTGTTCTGTGGAACACAGGTCCCACTGGATACTAGTGTTGGCTGGGGCCAGCCCAGCAGAGCCTGGCTTTATGGAAGCAGCCACTGCAGATGCTGGCCATGCAGGGCCTGCCCGGGTTGGGGCAGAGACCCAATCACGGTATTCCTCTGTTGGTGCCCTGGCCTTGTGACACTCCTGAGATCACTTGCTTTAGCCCTTTCTCCCTATCCTCAGAGCCCTCCAGCACTACACAGGCTCTGGGCTGCAGCTTCTGAGGAGGCCCCAGGACCTGGTCTGGATGAGGGTCCAGTATCAGCTTCTAGTAAATGGACCACATGCTGGGCTCTGTCCTAGCATGAGCCAGGCACACTGCAGGCTGAGTGCCCCCTTCCCTGCCTGCTCTACTCTCCCACTTTCTCCCTCCTTCCACTCCTCTTCCCTCCTCCCCTCCTCTCCTTTGAGTCCTTTACCTCCTCGTTCTCTCCATGGGGCTGAGCTCTTCTCATTCTCTGGATTGAAGACTTTACTGTAGAAGCGTCTGTGGTGCCCAGGTTGGGGTTGGAACTCTGCTTTCCCCAGTGTCTTTGTGCTCTGGTCTCCATGGCTTGGTTCATACGGGCTCCACACTCCTCAAAGTGTTTGTCAGACCTCCATGGCAGCAGGACCACAAGGGAGCTCCCGCAGGCAGCCTGGAGCCTCCCTGGATTCTGGGGTTGGGACTCCTCTCTGAACCTTTTATGTTTCAAATATGGGGCTAGTGGTATGCTTAGCACAGTGGGGCTCAGGGTAGAGATGGACCT